CCCAGGAGCACTCTACAAGCCTCTTAAGGGCTATGCCTGCCCTTTGTTTTGACAAAACGGGTCCATTTTCATGAAAAATGGGCCGTTTTTGGGAGGTCTGCTGAGTGCAAAAACTTTTTTAAAAAATTTGCCTCTTCAAAATCTTGGTGTGTCTTATACTCTGTTGCGTCTTATACTCTGAAAAATATGGTTAGTCCAGTTGCCTCCTGAAAAAATACCTTTGGAACAACCATGACCTGGATGACTGAGAATCTCTACAGACTGCTGTCTTGACAGTTCATATTGAATTTCAGATGCATGCCTGACTCTAGCCTTGTTCACGAATATCTACCTCCTTCCCAATTAATGGTTGATTTGCCCTTGAATAGTCTCCTTCACTTTTGCTTATTATATGAAGATAAATTGCACACATCAGGCAAGGGAGGAGGAGGGCCAACTGCTACCATTTCCTGCCTCCTGCATATTTAACTTGAACTGGAGAATCCCATTTTTTGGTTAACTGACAAAAATGAGTTATGGGAAGTAGCTCTTTTGATAGTATGCTAAATCTGATGAAGGAAAAAAGGAAGGAAGGATGGATGGATCTAGAATATTTTGCCTATGGCTGACAATTAGTTCTGTATTAGTTCTATTTTCTATTTAGTTCTTTAAGTTTCAACTGATGCAGAATGCAGTGGTCCAGAAAGTTATGTATGTTTCCAGAACAGCATATGTTGGCAGTTCTGCTCCAGGAGCTGCCTTGGCTGCCAGATTGTTTCTGGGCAAGTTGCTGATTTTGATTTTTAAACCCTTCATGCCATGGGATGAAGGGCCCTATTACATCAGCATGTTTCCTTAGATTCATCAGAGAGGTCATGGGCAGGTACCATCTTCAAGGGATCTACATTTGATGGGTCCCAGTTACAATGATTGTTTTTATAATATTTCCCATTTTTATTTTATTGTTGTAGACTGCCCAGAGGTACTTCTAATGACGCTATATAAAGCAGATGACAGACAGACAAATTGATTTTGCTATGTGGAAAATCTGAAGTGTTGTATATTAAGTTTATAAATTATGAAATATGGTGATGATCAATATTTGGTACCAGACCAAGAGTAGAATATTCACACTCTGACACTTGTAAAGGTCACAAGTGAAACAAATATTGAAAAGAAGAAGGTAATTTATTCTTATATATGACAAACTTCAAGAGGTTTTTAAAACACTTGGCATATGCTAGAATGCCGCTAAATTTTAGGAAAACCCTTCTGTCTTGTGACTTTGCTTCTTTTTATGCAGCGTACATCTTTGCAAGCTGGCAGGGAATGTAACAGCTGTTGTTGTTGTACACTTTGAAAAATGTTCACACAGGAGACTAAACTGTGAAACAAACCCAATTTGTCCATTATCGTGCAGCCTGTACTACAGTAACATAACTTTTTTTTTCTCTGGCACAATTCCAAAGGTGGATCTATCCTAGAAAGCCTCATATAGGATGAAATCTGTTTTTATATTCTTGGGATGTTTTGATTCAGGATCAGATCTTGTTATTATGATTACAATCATAATGCTCAAATTTGTGGGTTTTCTGGAAACCTTCATTAACAATTCATAGTCAGCTGAAACAATACATATTGTCAGCCTCTGCTTTGCTACTGCTTNTGCTAGGTTGGCAGAAGCTGGGACAAGTAACGGGAGCTCACTCTGTTCCGTGGTGCTAGGGATTCGAACCGCCGACCTTTCTGATTGACAAGCTCAGCACCTTAGCTACTGAGCCACCGCACGCCCAATTGTAGTGCTCTGTAAATTATAGGGTATTATTTTCATACCACCTATTATCTGAAATGCAATGGGAAGTGTGATTTAATTGCAGCTAAATAATAAGAGCAATGATTCTCCTTACAGACAATTCTTAATTAATATTTGATCCAAAACCCAGGAAAAGAGCTTAATTTAAGAAAAAATAATGTTAAGAAAGCATTAGATATTTTCTTAATTAGAAAAAGAAATAGTAGAGAGGCACTGGTACATCACAATATACTATAGCTAGGAGTCTGAGTGTAACTCTCTCTGGAATACTTATCGCATAATGAAATTTCTGTGAAGTCAGGCAAACACAAACAGCTATAAACAATTTGGGACAATGCAAATATTAAGACTTGTGCTTAGGTTGCCAAAAGAGGTTTACAGCTAAAGAACTGAGGTTTTGTTTCCTTTTTTGGAGAAAGGGCCATCACAAAAGAAATACAGCAAATCCCTTTACATTTATAAAAACGTTTTGGATAGCATCCATTTGACTTAAACATTGAGGCTGCAGTATTTTTTTACAAGGGAATTTATAAACCTGCTGTGGACTTCGGAGTGTGGGTAGGTATAATAAACCGTATGCATGCTACATAGATAGCTCAGCAACTACCATGAGGTATTTTATTTCAATGATCAATTTAACTGTATCATAAAGCAAATAAATTATCTGGACAGCCGATAAAGGCTCTGTTCTACTTATGTTTACAATGCTTAAAAAGTTTGCCAAAAGTTATCCAATTATCTGCTATCATAATAACAGAAAACGCCTGTGTGCCAAAGGAGGCAGGGGAAGAGGAGAAGTTATGGATCTTTGTATGTTTTATATATACTAAACAATACAAAACCTTTCATATATTAAAGTCTACATTAAAATAATTAAATCTGTAATATATTCACTTTGACAAAGCTTGTGATAAAAAGCAAACAGATCAGGACAAAATACAATACAGTTACGTAAATTATCTATTCAGTGACTCATTCTCTGTTTTTATTTGGTTTCATTTATATGTCTATTCCTGTTCTTGATTCATGGCATCACTATTCTTTAGTTGCAGACCATTTCAACAGACTTTACAATGGTGAAATAATTGTAAGGCTACAAGCAGTGTTTCAGTAACATGGATACTAAGAGCCAATACATTTTATTTTCATTTCCAAAAGAGGAATTAATTAATCGTATTTGCTTCACAGTAAATCCACTCATCTGATTTTTTTAAAATAAGGAAATATCTCACTATGTTAGGGAAAACCCCAGGGAACAACTTAGAAAACCCCAGAGAACAACTTAGTAAATCAGGAATCCATTGGAAATTCAGAATGGTTGCAGAATGATTTACCTTGTTATTATTTTCTCAAACATTCTTAGCTTAAACCAATGAATATTTTATGCCAGCAAAATAAGTAAACCCCCAGATCATAGCAGGCATCTACAAATTATCAGTACAGATTGTTGCAGATACATATAGAATGAGCTTTCAGGGTGGCATGCAGTAAAACATAGCTAAAATCAATAGAAACACATAATAAAAGAGTGTCAATTAAAAAAAGCTGCTAAAAGCAGCAGAGGCTAAAAACACCAGACATAAAACTAGTTGAAAGCCTAAAGCATCAAGGGATGTTAGAAAACATGGGAGAATTAGAACAGGAAGCATCAGGCATCCTAGGAAAGTTTTTTCATGGTGGTGGTGGTGGTGGTGGTGGTGGTGGTGGTGGTGATGGTGGTGGTGGTGGTGGTGTGTGTGTGTGTGTGTGTATGGGAGAGTAACTAATGGAAAGATCTATTCCAGAGATGTTATCTACCATGTTTAAATTAAAAACATTGTAAATTGATTATGTAGAATCAGGTCATTGATCCATTGTAGAACAGACTTCTGGGCAGGACCAGAAAGAAATCATAGGGAAACAAATTTAGGCAAATGTAAGGTAAGGTGATTTCCCCTGATCATTTGTGCCCAATTCTAGGGGGCAGTGATAATCTTCACTTCTTAACTGAGAGAGTCAGCGTTGCCTGAAGACATTTCCATGGTCATGTGGCTAGCATGACTATACGCCAAGGCACAGAACATTGTTACCTTGCCACTGAAGTGGTACCTACTTTTCTACCTGCATTTGCTTGCTTTCAAACTGCTAGATGGGGCAAGAATGGGAGCTCACCCCATCGTGCAGCTGCTCAAGTATCCAACTGCCGACCTTCTGGTAGACAAGCCTAGAGACATGATGGCGAACCTATGGCACATGTGCCACAGGTGGCAGGTGGCACATGGAGCCCTCTCTGCGGGACAAGCTGTTGCCCCAGCCTGCTCCACCACGCATGTGCGCACACCTCCCACCGGCCAGCTGATTTTCTTGTTTCTGCTGTGCCTGTGCGAGGCTCATGCGCGGCGGCAGTGGGAGCATGGGGGCCCAGAATCCTGCCCCCTCCCGTGTCCCATTTTTGGTCCCAGGAGGCTTCAGGGAGGCCTGCTAGGCCCAGAATGGGGCAGAGGTGGGAGTGGTGTCCCCATGTCCTGTTTTTGGTCTCTGGAGGCTGCAGGGAGGGCTGCTAGGCCCAAAACTGGACAGGGGGGGGGGTCCCACACATTCGTGGGGTAGGTATGTTCCCATTTATTATAGATCTTCAAATAGAGGCTGGATAGTCACCTGTCTGAAATTTGTCAGCAGATCTTGTATTGGGAAAGAAATTGGACAAAATGATTTCTGAAGTCCCTCCTAATATTATGACCCTAGGATTCAGAGCTGTTTTTACTAACCAATTCATCGTGATTTCCCACCCACCCCTATATTTACCTGAACGGAGCAGAGAATGCCTTGGTTTCCAGAAAACAAGGCCTATGATCTATCATTAACTGAAAACACCTATCTAAGCAGAAATATTATCTTCCCTTTCACTAAGACTACATGAAACAGTGGAATTCACAGTCCTTCTTTCATCTGGTTTGCTCTGGAGCTCTATGGAAGTGTTTAAAAAGTACTTCTTTAATATGTATCCCACTATGAAAACTGTTTTAATGTCATTAATTTTACTGTCTCGAATGTCAGCAGAATTTTAATGTTTTTAATATAGAATCCCAAATAAATACACCAAACTGAAAATTTCACAAACAAATGCTGTTAGATAATATATAGTTGGGCATTCATTCCTAAGAATACATTTCAGACTAAACTGTTCCAGACCTACAGCAGTATGCTAAAATAATATTAGTTTTCTCACCTACAAATCCTTCTTTGCCGACCAATTTCAGGGCAAGCTTGTCTGCCAAAACTGAAGAACTGCCATGCGCAATATTTGCAAAAGGTCCAGCATGCACAAAAACTGGAGTACCCTAGAAGAAAATAATAAGAACAGACAGATATATTGAATTCTCTACTAAAGCTTAAATCGACGTGACATTAAGAACAAGAGAGCAATTGTTTTATGTTAAAATTTAAAACATGAAGTTGTAAAACAATTGACATGGATAAGAAGGTAGTATATTGGTATAATATAATCAAGCTTTTTACTGATATAATATAACCAATCTTCTAGAGCAATACCATTTTATGATTGTGTCATATTTCAGTATGTGGTATGTTATTAAACACTGTCCCTAAAAACATAATTAAACTTTCTTGTTATAAATCCATGTTCACTTATTGAGTTACGTCATAGCAATTTCATAATTAATGTGTAGAATTCATTACCTTACTCTATAATCCATAACTGCAGCCTCACCACCATCTGGTTTACAGAGCTGCTGTGAACTGCAACTAAGCCCTCTCCTTCAATCAACTCACTGTCCTAACTCAGCTTTTTAAAACCATCTACACCAGGCTATAATGTATACCTTCTTATATGGGAGTAAACATCACAGAATAAAATGAGTCTTCTTGATTTGGGTGGATACATTGAATTTCACAGATAGAAAGTAAAAATGTAATAGAGTGCCTGCTAACTTTTTTTCACTCTTAGATCTGTGGGATTTTCAACTGATTCAACTAATGCAAAATTCCTCTGAGAGAAACTGCAGCTGCAGACAACTCTAGAAGTAGCACATTAATTAGATCCTTAAATAATTTGCTGTCTCTAGAGCTCTCTTTAGGTTTCAGGCGGGGTACAACATGGAAAGCAAATTGGCTGTGCTTGGGGATGGGAACCAGGATCCTTCTTCTGGGGGAGGAGCAGATTTAAATCTCTCCAAGATAGAATTATATGATCCCAGAGAAATCCCATCTGAATGGGGTTATACTCTCGCACACAGGGGTTATCTACAAACTGGAGGTTCATCTAGCTTCAAAGCTTCTACTTGAAGAACAAATGGCAATTGTGGCTGGAGGGCATTTGCACAGCTAAAAACTGGGTGCCATTTGCAACTATTCCTGGACCATGAGGGTCACTCATGCCCTACTTATCTTCCATTTCACGTACCATAACATGCTCTATAAAGAGCTTTTAGAAGCTATATCTAGTCCAAAATATGGTAGCTTGGGCAAACATTGCTTGGATGCTTCATTTTTCATTGCTTCAGGAAATGCATTGGTGTCAGGTGTGATTAAAAGAGCTGGTTGTCATTTTTAATGTCCTCTTTGACTCTGGATCTGGACCATCTTCTCCTGTATTTATCTGCTCTTCCAATCAGATTAAATAGATTCAATTCCTTTCTGATCCCATCTGTCATTTTCAATATATAGTAACTGCCCTCACTCTTTGGATCAATATCCCAATAAAATTTGCTCAGTTTCAACCAGTGGTGAAATTGACCATTGGCTTACCTGAAGGGTCCTTTTCTGTACGCTGCGAGAAGAGTCCAAGCATGGGTTAAATTCTGTCTGACTGCCCTGGACTGAATTGAAAGATCTTTAGCCACGCCTTCTCTTCCGGCTCCACAGATTTTTCGATGAAGGTGTGGACCTATAACACTATTCAAATGTGGTTCCATTGAGTCTGATCTTAGTTCAAATCAAGATAGAATGTATAAGTCAAGTCCGGTAATAAAGTCACAAATCCACATCAAAAAATGCAATGTGTATACAAATGGAAGCTGTGAGAGAGAAACCCTAGGGCCGGGTTGGATTCTCCTCGCAGCGTACAGAAAAGGACCCTTCAGGTAAGCCTATGGTTATTTTCCTGTAAGCTGCTTGGAGAGTCCAAGCATGGGTTAAATTCTGTCTGACTGCCCTGGACTGAATTGAAAGATCTTTAGACACGCCTTCTCTTCCGGCTCCACAGATTTTTCGATGAAGGTGTGTACCTATAACTCTATCCAAATGTGGTTCCATTGAGTCTGATCTTAGTTCAAATCAAGATAGAATGTATAAGTCAAGTCCGGTAATAAAGTCACAAATCCACATCAAAAAATGCAATGTGTATACAAATGGAAGCTGTGAGAGAGAAACCCTAGGGCCGGGTTGGATTCTCCTCGCAGCGTACAGAAAAGGACCCTTCAGGTAAGCCTATGGTTATTTTCCTGTAAGCTGCTTGGAGAGTCCAAGCATGGGACATACCCAAGCTAAATGTCACTAGGGCGGGAAGAACCTGATTCAATGGTCTCTCCAATGGAATGTGGCTGAGCAGGAGCCGTTGGAGCTGCCATCAGATTCCGACAGGCCCTATGAGTCGGCTCTGGAGGATGTGGAGGACCCTG